AGCTAATGGCTTTTGAATGGTATTGTTAACTGCTTATGCAAATAGATTAATTTCCGGAAATGAAATGTCGGATTTGATCTTGGGGGTTTGCTTTACTTGCCTCTCTTGGTCAAGAAAAGAAAATTTGGACTTCCTGGTTACTGGATTAGTTGTATTGGTTTGTTACTTGTTTAAGCTAAAGGATTGTTTCCTTTATTTGGATTTTAATTGCATATATTATCTCTTGCTTGTTGATGGGATGACTGCTATAGTGTGCTATGCTTGATTGCCACTTCAAATTATTGTGCAGAACTGAAATGTAGTGGCCAATAGGCTGAGTTTGTTACTTTAGGTTTCAATAAACAATTTGACAATGTTGTGGACCTTCTATACACCGCTGCACATTATTGCAAAAGTAACTAGTGATAAGTAAAGTATCATTTCCATGAAGACAAGTAAGCAATTACCAAATTTAAGTTAGCCTTTTCTTTATTTGAACTATTGAAATGGGTGTATTTTTGAAGTAAAAAGAACTAAAACTAAAAATAACATAAAATGCTTGGAACCTATATGGAACACCCAAGGTAGTTGACTTCACAAATTGCTTCACTGGGAAATCACTAGTTTGCTGATGTTATTATTGAAATGAGATGCTATTCTAGGATTTGTTCTTTGCTGAAATTTTGTTCGTAGTTAACTTTCTTTTTGGTTAATGTTTGTTATCTGCAGAAATTCTTGCTTGGTGGGAGGCTGATATTCGGGCCAGATGCTAAGTCATTGATCATCACCTTTACGCTTATCCTTGTCCCTGTTGTTATATTTTGTGTATTTGTTGCAAGTAATCTTGCTCACAAATTCACAGCTGGAAGTATAGGATATGCAATTTTGGTCTTAGCAGTTGTCTTCACAATCTATGTTAGTTTCCTTACACTTTATTTTATTTGGCCTGTAATATTTTTCTCATATGCGGGGCAAAGTTCCGGTATTACTTATTTCCTTCTTACTTTCATCAGCAGAACTCTGCTTGTAACTTTCTGTTTATGTTTCTGCAAACATCCCCAAAGCGTCCACCTCTTTTCTTTATGTCTTTTCAGCTGCCCTTGATTTTCCTAGCAACTGACAACTGTCAAGATTTTTTCCCACTTACCTGCTATGTTTCTCAGACTCTCCAATTGTTGTTGCACCCATGTCGAATCCTCCAAGAATGCACTACTTTTGGAGGATCCAACATGCAGCTGTCCACATTTTTGAAAAGTTCGAGCAACATAGTTTATATGTGATTAATGTGAAAAATAATGTGCTTGTTGCAATAGGTCTTGTTTCTTCTACTTTCAACATCAACTAAGGATCCTGGCATTGTTCCACGCAATTCTCATCCTCCAGAGGAAGTATCAGGTTATGATTCTTCAGCTTCCATTGATGTTGGGAAGCCTTTGCCTCGCACCAAAGAAATCATTGTAAATGGTCTGCCTGTGAGAGTTAAATATTGTGAAACATGTATGTTGTATCGTCCACCAAGATGCTCTCATTGCTCAGTATGTAATAACTGTGTGGAGCGGTTTGATCACCATTGCCCTTGGGTTGGTCAATGCATTGGAAAGGTAATGAATCTTCCTTCCAGAGGTTTTTCTTTTCTCAATTTTCGTTTGTGATTCCACTTTCTATTCCTTTTCTTTATATGACTACCTCTATGGGCTCATCATGAAGATGAAGCTGCCACCTTTGCTATTGCTTTTAAGAAATTCACTTCAGCTTCAAGTTTGCTGCTTTGCAGAAAAATATCAGCGGTGTTTTAGTTGATTAGTAGTTGTAGAAAGTGATTACTTTACGTGTATAAGCTGCTTTTTGTTGAATTGACTGATTGGCTTCTGTAAGCTTTGGCAAGACTGGCAGGTGCAGGAATTGGCATTTGTGCTATATGTTTATAGCCTTCCATCTCACATATGTGTATTGTGCAACCCTTTATGTACTGAAAACTATTTTAGCTAAAGCATAACCCAATATTAAGAAAGGTGTATGATTAAATGTACTGATTTGAAAATATGTCATTTTAAAATACTCCCTCCGTTTCAATTTGTTTGTTTGATTTGTCTTGGCACAGAAGAAAAGAGTTGTATCTTGTGGTCTTAAACTAAAGATATGTAGAATGTACCAAAATCTCCATTAATCTTGTTTTTTGTGGTCTTAAACATGCCATGTTGAAATTTAGAATTAAGGAGCTGCGAAAAAAGAAAAGAGGCATTCTTTTCTAAATGAACTCAAAAGGAAAGTAACGCAAACAAATTGAAAGGAAGGGAGTAAATCTTTACTTAAGACTGTGCATATGTTATAATTAATGAATGGTGAAGATGCTTTAAAAGAAGGGATAATATGATGAAGCAACGGTGAGGCATGACATTTAGTGCAAGGAACTGGCAGGAGAAAAATGTAGTGCCTTCCCTGTTTTGTGCTTATGTGGATGTAAATAAAAAGTCTTATCTGAAAGAACTTCGCTTGCTACTTTTAGCTGCACCTTGTTGCCCTTTTGAGACTCATTTCTTTCTTTTTTGGTGTACAGCGCAACTATCGTTGCTTCTTCCTATTTATTTCTTCAACTGCTCTCCTCTGTGTTTACGTCTTTTCGATGTCGGCATTATATCTTAAACTTCTTGTGGATGATTGTGGAACCGTTTGGAAGGCTGTCAAAGTATCGCCAGCTTCAGTGGCGCTGATGGCTTATTGTTTTGTTTCTCTATGGTTTGTTGGGGGTCTCACTGGCTTCCATTTATACCTCATAAGTAGAAATCAGGTTACTCTTTTACACCTCTTATGTCAATATATAATTCAATTCCTTCAGTTTGCAAGCATAATAATTGCAGTACTGCTTTAGTTTCTATATGCTTAATCATTTTTTTTGCTTACGAACATGTGTCTCTCTAGCTTCAGCATGTTGGAGTCAATATATATGTGTAGGAATGTTCGACAACCATACTTTTTCTAGACAGCTGTTAGGGAACACTTATGACATGGTCGATTCAAATTATGTGAATTGGTATGACAAATCATAAAACTCATTGAGCTGTCTATGTCGTATGCTTGGTCATTTGTTTACAATCAATGGATTGGACTGCTTTGTTTTAAATTGAGATTTAAATGGTCTGCTGTTGAGTGCATTGGTCAGAAGATAAAATCTTTGGTGGCTGTCGAATGATAGATTAGACAGTTGATTTGATGTCACTATGTTCTTGTTCATTCTTTTCCCCATGCATAATTTTGATTTGTTTTAGTTATATTCAACTCCATAGACCACATATGAGAACTTCCGTCACAGAGGACTAAGAGGAGACAACAGAATCAATGTGTATTATCGCGGTTGCATGAACAGTTTTGTTGAAGTATTCTGCTCGAAGATAGAACCTTCAAAGAACAATTTCCGCGGATATGTACATGAAGGGGCATCAAAGACTAGTAAAGGCGGCAACGTTCAAGTAACAGAAGTTGACATTTCTGATGAGGATAGAAGAGTGAAGGTAGAAGACGATCTTGAGATTGGAGATGATCTGATGAAGATATCCCAACGACGTAACTCTCAAGATATTGGTGATATTAGAGGTAGAGGAAGTGACAGGTCGCCCATAAGTCGTTCTGAGCTTGACTTTGGATTTGGTCTGGAGTCGCAATTTTCTTCCAGGTCTGAGAGTCGCCATTCTGGCTGGTGAAGATGAAGTGAAAGGAACTGTTCCTCTTATGTTGCCATCTTTCCAAAGCCATCTACTGCAATGATTTTGCAGTCAGTTCTGAGATTTGAAATGTGATATACATTAAGGTGGCTAGCCATGAAAGTGCATCTCCAGTGTTCTTTCGTGGTGTCATTCTGGCTCAACCTGTTTTCGTGGTGGACGAGACCAGACACAGAACAGCTTTGTCAAAACACAGATAATCTGCTGACTTCTATAATGTCTTTTGCTGGTTATTATTTCTTGAAAGAACAATGGACATATGTTGAAGGATTTTGAAAATGTATACATCTAGTCATTCTTTTCCTTGCACTCTGGAAATTCTTATTTCCTCTGTCCTATTTTATGTGTCCAAGGGGATTGAATCCTCATGTGCTTAACTTATTAGTTTTGATTAAATCTGATATGTTACTGTTGATATGATCGCATTTTCACTTTAAAAATTCAATTTTGTGTCTAGCTATACTTGTTTAGAATGGAGAAGTGTAAGGATATTATTTTTTAAAAAAAATAAAAAAGATTGAAATTGCCTCTAAACTATGCAAAATAGTTTTATGATAATAAAAAATATCTCGGATGTTATTTCAAGAGACCACAAATACCAAAAAGAGTTGATTAAGTGAGATGGAAGGCCATATGGGACAAATCTCTCCATCTGTACACTGCCAAATAGGATTCGCCACAAGAAATAATAAGACCTTTAGTAACGATAAAAGTCACCACAAAGTTTCAAAATATCATCACTAAAGGTTATCACTAATTTTTAGCACTAAATTATAAGAATTATCTTCTTTTTTCTGTTATGGAAATAATTTTATAAAAATCACGAATAACATCAATCAAGGAGAAGTATACTATATGTTTTATTTTATGTCATGTGTGACGATACAAAATGTACTATTATACATTGTGTAGTAGGAAATTCGAATTGAGAAGTAAATTTTGGTGCTTCTCATAACTAAAAAATTAGTTACTAAATTATTTTTTTGAAAAACTAGTTTTTAGAGTGGCCTTTAGTAGCCTCCAAAAATTCGTGAAAGTCTTTTATGAGATTTCATAGCCATCTTTGTTGTCATTAAAAGTTTTGTAATGAATTTTAGGCAACATTTAAATTCAATGATAAAAATTAAAATCATACATTCACCTAATATTAAGTAATCACACTCTAGAATATATTATTTATATAAAAAATAATTTCTCGATAACATCTTTTTGTATATGTAATTATATCCAATATATTATTATTCATATTGTATATACTAATACGTCTCTAAAAAAATTATTTGATAAAAATGTGTAATTAACTAAAGGTGAAGATAAAATCTTGCAACATTCATCATCTCCTAACGTCTTCTACAAGAAAACTAGATTGAAATTGAAAGAGAGGAAAAAAAAAATACAAAAAAAGAAGCATAGACTCAAAAAAGCAGTAAAAGAGACCATCTTCAAGACTCTTTACTCCCATTCTCACTCTTAGGGTTCACATCGATCGAATTCATAATGGTAATCTACTGTTCTCATGTTGAATTTCTCTGTATTTTCATTCGATTCAGATCTCATTTCGGTATGTTCAATGTCTTTGTTTTTGTTCAATTTTGCTCAATTTCAGGAAGGTGATAGGAATTTGGAGTCGAAAATAGAGATGCTGTTAAATGTGGAGAAGCAGATGCGGCAAGCTGGAGATGTTGCGGGTACGAGGAAATCCGCCATTGATATTCTTCAGCTCTGCTTTGAGGCTCGTGCATGGACTACACTTAATGAGCAGATTGTTCTATTGTCTAAGCGTCGTGGACAATTGAAACAGGTATCGTTTTTCATATTACTATATGTGTGTCCTTGTAGCAGAATGTAATGTGCTAGACTGAGCTGAATTTTGATAGTGTCAGTCAGTAGAAATGTTGAACTATAACAAAATGCTTGTTTATATATATATATATATATATGGATTATATGTTATTGGAAATTTGGAAAAAAAATAAAATATAAAAAAGTGATTCATGTTTCGAACAGGCATGAATACATCTATAGGATAACTTCCATCAATAAGGAGGACAATGTGTATTAACATAATAACACCTTTAAAAGTGTTGAGCTATAACAAAATGCTTTTTGATTTATATATGTATCATATGTTATTGGAAATTTTGAACTAGTATTGGAATTGTCAGAAATGAATAAATGTTTTTCAATCCCTCGTCCCCCGGAAAACAAAATTTATCTTATCTAGTTCTCTTTTCCAAATCTTTTCGGACTGCACTACTAAATGATCTATTATTTTTTAAAGAAAGGACATATTTTAGGGAATAGTTGTCAAAATCCCACTTTCACTTAGATAGTTTGAAGCCCATGAAAAGAGTATAAAGGACTTAATGATACCTTTTTCCTTTTCAAACTGGTAGGGATTTTTTAAATGTCAAAGAAATTATTGATTCCTTAGCGTGTAGTTTGAAATTCTAGTGTATGTTGTGGACAATTAATATCTTTGATTTAAGAAGTGAGAATTGGAAAGGAAGGATAATTGAAAAGGGTGATGGCCTGACGGAGCTAATATTTTCTCTTGTTCTAGATGGAGATATACATGCTTTTATTTTCTACTTTGTGTTGTACTAGAAGTATGAAAGTGAGTAATTTCCTTATTGGGGTATCAAAGAAAGAACAGTTACTCTTTTTGTGGTATGCAGTGATTATAGTTGATATGTTTGTCATGAACAGTGAGGTCTGCCTTAATGTAGACTTTAATAAAACTGGTTTGCACCTTGTTGATGCTTTCTAATGTTAGCTTACTTACCTATCAGAAATAATCATTAAAAGTCATACACATTTAGGTAGAGGCGAGGATTTCCTTTTGTGTAATTCACTCATCAATTGCATGATCAGATGTGTGATGTGGCGACATGTATATGTCTAAATGCTTAGAAATGCTTGGCTACTAGTCATGTGCCTATTTTACTTGGAAAGTTTAATTAACATGATAGTGTTGAATAACTGCTCCTGCTAGTTGCTTATGCCAATTGCTGATGTGCACGTCCGTTCTTTACATATCATATTGTACGTGGAACTATCCATTGCTATGAGAAACCTGTGAGACGCGGTGTTTCTCAGCTGGTGATGGATGATCTCATGATTTTGTCTGTCCTATACCACTGTATAATAATGTTGTTTAGTGTTTTTTAATTTGAAATTGTGCAGGCTGTACAGGCTATGGTCCAACAAGCGATGCAGTATATTGACCAGACACCTGATCTTGAAACTAAGATAGAACTCATCAAAACCCTTAACAATGTGTCTGCAGGAAAAGTAAATGTTCTTTTTGTCTGCTTTTTTGTTGTTATTGTAGATTAGAAACCATGGTTCCTTTTGTCTTTCTTTCCCACCGAACGACTTTAATCTTGCATGTAGATATATGTTGAAATTGAGAGAGCCCGTCTGATTAAGAAGCTTGCAAAAATTAAAGAAGAACAAGGACTCATAGCTGAGGCTGCTAATTTGATGCAAGAAGTTGCGGTCAGTATTTGTTGACCTTCTCCTTGGTGACTTCTTGGTCTTTTTGCTCTAGAGATCAGTGTCAAACTGAACAACAGTTTTTATTGGAAGATTTTTGGGATTTACTTACTTGCAATGTTCCCATTGATGGGTATGTTGACGGACAGGTTGAAACTTTTGGAGCAATGGCAAAAACAGAGAAGATTGCTTTTATTCTTGAACAAGTATGTATGATTGATCCCTCTCTTTCTACAAAACTGAAGCATGACTTTAGGATAGTTATGTAATGCTGAACTCTGCAGGTGCGTCTCTGTTTGGATAGTCTAGATTATGTGCGTGCACAAATACTCTCAAGAAAGATCAATCCCAAAGTGTTTGAAGCCGATCCTTCTAAAGAAAAGAAGAAACCAAAAGAAGGTGATAATGTAGTCGAAGAGCCTGCTCCAGATATTCCATCATTGTTAGAGTTGAAGCAGATTTACTATGAATTGATGATTAGGTGAGTTATAATTTTATGTGGAGTGTGCCTCGAGTTATTTTCTCTTGATTTTGATGATAAACTAGACAATTCTTACCCTAAGCGCTCAGAGGCTCAGCATATTTATGCCAAACTCATAACTTGAACAGATTAATATTGTAGACTAGTAGTTGATGCCTCTATCTTCTTCACTGATGATTGTAGTGGGTCCTAATTTGAACAGATTAGTGTCGAAAAAATTCACTGACTTGCTTCTTAGTTGATTTTCAATGCATCCTGGCCCTTGGATGTTCATTGCTCATTTTACTACTGAATAAGGTTAACATGTGCATTCTAAGTGTAACTTTTATGACTCTCCATATTTTCGGATGTTTGTTTGTCTTGTTTTTGTAGTGCAGGCCCCATTACAATTGAATCTTTTCATAATGTGCATTCCACATTCCAGAAAAACATTTTGACCGTCCTCATTTTGCTTATAATTTGGTTTGTCTTATAAATGAATTTGGATTTATTGCAATTTCTTGAAAGTTAATCGTCCTTATGGTGGTGGAATTTGACAATGATACAATGTAGAACTTGTTACTGTCATCAACTATTCGGTAACACCAAGGGAAATGCTGTGTTTACTTGGCTTCTACACAAAGGATTTATATTTTCCACCAAAGAGATGCTATTCATGCTTGTGATATTATGCCGACCTCATTCAAATTCTGCAAAGATGTGTATTTGAGAGTGATAGTTTTCATTTCCCGTCTTTTAGGATTATTTTTTATTATGAGCATGGACTTCAATTCCTGTAATAAAATGGTCTGATTGAAAAGGCTACATTACTTATTCTAGTTAGTCTGGAATTGATGCATGGTGAAAATGTTGCATTTCTGATCCCAGCTAGTTTGGAATTGAAACATAGTTGATTGATTGATCGAGTGGACTTTAAAGTTTCATCGTAAGATTGCGCTAGGACTGGAATATTAAGCTGTTAGAAGGTCAATTATACTTCTTTCTATACTAGTTTTTCACTCCAAAAACTTTTTAGTGCTGGTTTTCACTTGCATGATAATTGTTAGTATGTGGATGGTGGATTCTATCATCCGTTTATGAGGGTGGCAAAACGTGTATTTCATAAATCTAAATTAACCTTTGTGATTGGCTTAACCCCTCCTCTTTTTCAAGTCATGCTTCTACCGTGTAATTGATATCACGCTCAAGCAGGGTTTGACAAAAAAAAAATCACGCTCAAGCAGGGTGCTCTGACTTACATGAAGCTGAGGATTTTAGTGTTGCCCTGCTTAACCTAATGGTGAACTTCTAAGCCATGGAAAGATTGACTATTGGGTTCATCCCTGAGCAGCTAGAAAGTGGCTAACAGTGACCTATGCTTCATGAGAACAGCATAAGCTATTCAATCTGCCATTATGACCTTGTTAAAATCAGAGCTCTTAAAGTTCAGGCACCTGATTGTGAAGTGGGAAATTCCTTTCCAAAAAAAGTCATGCTTCATATCATAGACTTAGTTCATGCCCTCACAGAAAGTTTATGCGTGAGTAGGGCTCACTGTTGCAAGCACTTGATCTGTTGATCATACCTGATTTACTTCATCTGTGGTTTACAAGTTTGTCAATTCTAGAGCTTAAAAGAACTTGCTTAGTTATGGTGCTTTCAGATAACTTTAAGCTCTTACTAGAAAGATAGAGACTGCTGTTGTTGCATCTGGAATGTTTTCATTGTATTGTATGTCGTTAATTGTCACAATAATTTCTTTTATCCCGGTGCTGCAGGTATTACTTTCAAAACAATGATTACCTTGAGATATGTCGCTGTTACAAGGCCATATATGAAATCCCTTCTGTAAAGGAAAACCCAGCACAGTGGATACCAGTAAGCCTAATTCAGTTCTATTTTTGAAGTGCTATGGTAACCTGTCAATTCATATGCAAATCTTCTTTTTTCAAGATGGCATCCATGAATTATCAATCTTAAACTGAGAACTAATGAATAACATCGACATGCGATATCAAATGTCAATGAACATTGGTGACACAAGTAAAAGAAGGTTTTGAATGTTAAAATATTTACTCGATACAGTGATCTTCCTTTTTCTGACATGGGGAAATGGATTAGCTTTGTAAAGAAAAGAAAGTGAAATTTGTTGTTCTGTTCTCAATTTTTTGAGATACTGATTGAGCTGGCAATGTGCTTAGATAATTGGCAGCTATGTTGCACAGACTCTCAAAAATGATTCCGCACCTGTGTCGGATCCTTCAGAAATGCACTACTTCTGAAGGATCCGATACACACCCGTCAACATTTTTTAAGGATCCGACACACACCCGTCTACATTTTTGAAGAGTCTGAGCAACATAGATTGGTAGTGGTGGATGACAGTGGAAGACTGGAAGTTGGTGGTGGTTGTAAAGTGGCATTGGGAAGAGTAGTAAAAGGTTGTATTTGCAGAAGTTTCTAAGTAAATGTTTTAATGATCTTGAAAATATATCCATTATATATGAAGGAATCAGATCTTCAGTGCTAGCAGTTGTAAAGAATAATAAATGTACTTAAGTGGGTTGAGATATGAATGATTCGGATTCAAACCTCCACTAAGCAAAAACAAACCGGGCCTTTGTTTTCTGCATGTAGTCTGTTTTAAGCTAAGAAAGAAGGAGAAATCCTTCTCATTTTTCAGGAAGATGACTCATGGGAAAACAAAAAAAAAAGGAGACACTTTGTTATATGCTTGTTCAAGTCAATCCCTTTCTAATGAATTAGTGCTAGCTTTTCTACTCCTCAAACAACTTCTATAGAAATCAATAGATATCTATGATGAGCTGATAGTGTTAAAGAAATTATTAAACTCTTTGAGGGGCCAATTAACATAGAGCAACCTGGTATATTGGGAATTATATGTGTTGTATGATGGACATATCCAATATGTTCAGAACTTAAATGGCAAACATTTCCTACTTAAGCGGAGCTTGAGTTGATGCATTTTCCCCCTAAATTGATAAAGAAAGGGGTTGCAATAATAACCAGATACATCTAGTTCAGCTTTGTCAAAAATATCCAAAAGAAGTATTTGATTACGTGCCACTTAAGAGCTACATGAAAAGCTGGGCTACAGGATCTCTGATACCCCTAAATTATTCTGAATCCTGTTTCTATATTATGCAGGTGCTGAGGAAAATTTGCTGGTACTTGGTATTGTCACCGCATGATCCTATGCAATCAAGTCTTCATAACTTAACTTTGGAGGACAAGAATCTTTCGGGGATCCCTCATTTCAGGTTCTCTTGAAAACTCTATTTGCCCAATATTGTTCTCTGGAATTGAGGAGAAGCAATTATCTTTCATTTGTCCATAGAGGCTTGTGGGGAAAGATGTTACCCAATATTTTCCAACCATCAGCACCCTTTCTGGAAAAGATCCTTGCTTTTGTATCAATTGACATTAGGTAGTAAATTATTCTTGAATAAAGTGGAGAAGAAACCCCATGATTTAGCTTACATCTCTTTATGCAAGCTAGATATGAATTTTCTTCTGTATGATAATTACCTTAAACAAAGTAAAATTATGTTTGTTCTCATAATGACTTGAATACATAGTCAAGATTAGATGCCATCAGCCTGAATGTCTGATAATTTTTAGTGTGCATCTGTCGGAATAAATTGAGCAGCGAGTCTGCCTTTTTATGGACTTTAAGAATATCACTCTTTACTAGGCTGCTTCTTCAGCAAAATATTGTTTCTTTACAAGTACTAAAAGAAGATTATCATAACATAGTTATCTCTTCTAAACTAACAAAGTTTAGTTTCTCAAAACTGCTGTTTTTAAGTAAAACCTCTACAAGAAGTAATCGTGTATAATATGATAACAAGTTTAGTGGTGAGGCTTCTTATGAACTTTAAGCGCACATTATTGACAACCAACATTAAAAGAAATTGTTTTAATTTGATTATTAATGCCGTATTAACAAAATTTAGTTTTGAATCTTTTTTTTTTCTAAGTAGAAACTCTAAAGGGAAATAATTTATAATGGCTTGGGATGAATTAGCCATATGGTATTGTTGGCATCGTCTTAGTCTCAAACTATTAACCTGGAAGCAAACTAGTTGAAATTTTTCTCATCTTTCATGGAACAGCTACAATATGAAAATTTACAATTTTCTTCAATCCTTCTTCTCCAGTAGGCAATCAGTTTTGGTGTAAGGTTTATTAGTATCTACCTTTTCTTTTATTTTAGGCTGCTTCTGAAACAATTAATTACCATGGAAGTCATTCAATGGACATCATTATGGAATACTTTCAAGGATGAGTTTGAAAATGAGAAGAATATGCTTGGTGGCCCTTTGGGTGACAAGGCAGCTGAAGATCTTAGACTGAGAGTTATAGAGCATGTAATACTCTATGCTGCAAGTATCTGTTTTGCTCCTTTTAATGGTTTCTATTGATTCATTTTTCCTATGATTATTTCCTGGCAGAACATTCTTGTTGTCTCAAAATACTACTCAAGAATAACTTTGAAGAGATTAGCAGATTTATTGTGCCTTTCCATCCAGGTTGGTATTCATGGTTCCTTATTCCTGATTATAAATCACATCTTAGATGTTCCGTTATAAGTTTTACTATTGAAATATATATAAATTTCCTTTATATTAATTCTCTATTGCAAAATATGTATATGCTGCAAGAACATCGTGGGTCACACACACACACACACACACCGCGCGGTAACAAATAGCAATGTAACTGTGTTTTCTTTCCCCTTGGGTCGCTAACATTGTTTCTTGAAAAATCTGTGTTGTCACTAGCATCTGTAACTCACTAACTCTCATGGATAGCCTGAAAATTGTGCTCCCATCTTTGTAGGAAAAGGAAAAAAAGAAGAGAAAATCATGATGTTGTGAATAATAATCGGTTGACTTGAATTTACCCTGAGAGCTACTAAAAGCTCTCAAATTTAGAGCCCTCCTGATAGCTAGTCTTTGAATTTAGATTTTAATAGTATCCCAAATTCTCAAAGCTCCATTGGCAATTGATATTGCTAGTGTAGATGGGTATTAGTTTGAGTGGGTATAAAAACTGAAAACTGTGATCTGGCGGCCTAAGTTAATTATTTTATCGCTGAAGAATCTGTTATTCAGTTCCACATAATCTTTCTGATCATCTTTTGTATCCATCTGACCTGATTGAGATTGCATGTTTTACCCATTAACGTCTGGTGATGTCTCATCTCAGGAAGCCGAAAAACACCTTTCAGAAATGGTTGTATCAAAAGCACTTGTTGCAAAGATTGATAGACCTGTGGGTATAGTCTGTTTTCAATCTGCAAAAGACAGCAATGACATACTAAATTCCTGGGCTTCTAATTTGGAAAAGCTGCTTGACCTTGTTGAGAAGAGTTGCCACCAAATTCATAAGGAGACAATGGTGCACAAAGCTGCAATAAGGGCTTGAAATATTGGCAGGACTCCAAAGGTAGCTCATCAATTATGGTAATTGTAATCAAGGAGCAGTTTTGTGCCAAAATTGAAATCGTTTTCCAGTCTGTCTGCCCGACCCTCAAAGGGGAAAAAGCTCGTACTATCAATCCTTCCACCCCTGTTATATTCATCTGCCTGCTCGCTTTCCTCAACTTCCCTGGCTTACACTTTCTTGTTTTGTGTTCTCCTGATGCTGCTTTACTCATTGTTTTCAACAACGTTTTTCAGTTATGCTAAGAGATCACAGGTTAATATACTCTTCGAGTTATTCGTCAAATTGTATCAGATGATGATTGAAGAATATACTAGGTTGATATCAATCATGTGCTGTCTTGTTTACTCAAGTATGTCAAGATATTTATACTTGCATTTTGTACGATTTTCAATTCTATCGAGCATTTGGATTGCTCCAACTAACACCCTAAGCTGGGGATTTCCCTCCTTGTTCTGTTCCATCCATGAGAAAGACACACAGAAGAGGTATTTTCAGGAAGAATCCAATTGAGACTTAGCTCAAAAATGTCATAATTTGTATTTGAGAGCTATTTAATCTTATCAACCATATTTTACCTTTAATAACATCTGTTAGGACCAGCTTAATGGCCTTGATCACCTCTTATTTAATTGTTTGTAATGATTACAATTATAGTATCTTGCATATGTTAAGATATTTGTGTACTCAAAATGCTTAAATTTATTTTGATTCTTGTCTAGTTAAATACCTACTACATATGGAACATGAGTGATAATTTATGCTATAATCATTACATGTTCCATCATCATCTTGTATATTCTTTGGTAAAACAAGAAATTTCCAAAAATACCTCTCATTTTATAATCTACCACAACAATATCACCAAAAAAGGGGACTTTGTCCACCTACACGCGCAATCCTTTCATATATCACATTTATATGATAAACATAAAACCCTAACTAGTCACTTCTACTAGATCATTTTGGAGGGTGATGAGCTGAATCTGACGAAGTAGCCCGAAAATCATTTTCACTACTCTGGCTAGTAGGTTGAGAACCTGAAAAATACATACTCGGAACAAAAGGAACTCGAGAAGAAGAAGACGATGATGGAGAAGAAGAAGAATACTGGAATGTTGTAGAAAACATGGATTGGTTTAACAAACTTAGAGATGAATTGCCCCTTTGAAAATCACCATTCAAGAAATATTGAGTGTTTATGTCATCACTATTGCTATTAGATAACTGAGTGTGAGCTATTGGATTACTATTAGGGAAAAAAGAGATTGTTGAAAGAGTATTTGGAGAAGTATTAGGAGAAATAATACTAGAAACAGGTACATATTCCGTGGGAAATGTGTCCGTCATAAACTGTCTTTCTGTTGAAAATACCATATTATTTTCTGCAGGAAATGTGCTTGTCAGAACTTTTTTCTTCGTCAAAAATTCCAAGTTACTTTCCACGGAGTTTGAGGGAAATGTGTTTGTCAGAGACCCTTTTTCCATTGAAGAAGTAGGCAAGAGCCTAACATTTTCAGGGAAGTTGAGTTTGGCTTTGCTACCTCTAAATTTAAGAGCAGTTTCATCATAAGCTCTAGCAGCATCTTCAGCAGTATCGAATGTTCCGAGCCAAACCCTAGCAGCTTTGTATGGATCTCTAATTTCAGCAGCCCATTTTCCCCATGGCCTTTGTCTCACTCCTCTATATCTTCTTCTTGGTTGATCACAATCAATAATATTGGTGTTGTTATTATGATCATATGTTGGAGTAGTGTATATGAATGTTGCTTCTGTTGTTGGTGTGTTGCTTGCAATAGTTCTATTAATGCTTGAATCTTCACCAACTATAAATTAACATAAAAACACACATTTCAAGAAAACATAAATTTTAAGGGAATGTCTAGTTGTTATATACCTTTTTAGTATAAATAAACTTATTACCGTGTCAAATCACAGAAAAGATAACTACGCGTAAGCTTTTTTTTAAATCAAATTAAGCTATTATATAAAATAATTTATCAAAATAATATATTTTTTCAAAATTTTATAAAACTAGTATAAACGTATTTCACAGTAACGTTTTAGGGTATATTTCAATTTTTAAAAATTAACAGTGTTAGGTTGATATACGTTACTGTGAGTAACATTTTACTCCTAAAACGTTATTGTAAGTAACGTTTTAAGAGTAAGACGTTACTCACATTAACGTTTTAGGAGTAAAACGTTACTATGAGTAATGTATATCAATCTAACGCCGTCAGCTTTTAAAAAATAAAATATACCCTAAAACGTTACTGTGAAATACGTTTATACTAATTTTGTAAGAATTTTAAAAAAAAATTATATAATGACTTAGTTTGGTTGATACTTCTTTTTATTATACTGTAAAATTTATAAATACTACTTGTTCATCAAATAAAGATAACTTGATAGTCCAAAATGAAATTCCTTTTGCTTCATATTTAATTATATATAGTACAAAATGGTCTATAAATATAATGATATCATTATTATTAGTAGTAGTAGTATTATATATAAGGACTAAGCTCCTTAATTATACTCTTAAAGAACATAAAAATTAAACTAAAGTAAATAAACTAACATGACCTAAAGTAAAATTTGAGGCTCTAGTCTTACTTCATGTTATCTTACATGGATTTACATTACATACAATATTGACATGCTAGTTAGTTTTTGAGATGAAGAGCAGCCGCTTCGCGGGGTTAGAATTTCGAATATATAATGCGAGTTTTGAAATTATAAATTAAATATTATATTAGTATGACATCAATAATAACTGTATGACTTATTTCCAAACCAACTAATAAACTCTATCTTGTATACATTAAAAAAAAATTAAGAGTCAAAAACACACTTAAGTATTTTAATTTAATTCTTTTTGAGTTTTCTATTTCATTATCATCAAATATTTATCGAAACATACTTCAACTATCTGTTTTTCATAGAAAAACTAAACAAATGATAGATAAGATGCGATTCAATAAACATTTGATGTGATGATAAATCAGATAGAAAACTCACATATAAACCTTATAATTCATATACGAAATTCGAAAAAACCGAAATATTTCAGTATGTTTTCCAAATTTATTCCTACAAACGAAATAAAATATGAAGCAAAAAGTACAGAATTATTTTGCATACCTTTTGATGAACTAATAATATCAGACAAGAAATATTGCTGCTCTTCACGTCCTCTTTTTTCTCCAACGCCTCCAGAAAATTCATTCAAAGATGAAGAACCAATAATATTATTATTATTATTTTCTTGATTTAATATTCTATCTTCACCAGTAATGACACGTGTCAGTGCAGTAACCATCATAGACATCTCTTCTTCTCTATTAATATTCCCAGAAAACATCACATTAATATTATCATTATTATTAATCCCACTTTCTTCTTCTTCATCATCTCTTATAATTGCCTTATAATTCCCTTTCTTTCTATAATTCGCCACCTTGAATTTACACATGTAACACACAAAAAAAAGGAAGAAGCTAATTGTATATAATAGTACTAACAAATACTTACTACTATATATAAAATTACAAGTTTAAATATCGACAGACAGTCTAATGCACTGAACATTTTCCCCCGCAAGAGAAAACAAATTAGGTTTCAAGAAGGTTGACAAGAAGTAGAAAATTAAGTGGTTGTTTTCTATCAAAAGATTCCTTGAACAAACCGTAATATATAGAGATTTTAAGGAGCTAAAGTTGGGAGTTGAAATTATACTAAAAAACAAAAGGAAAAAAAAAGTAAACTCGAGTTTTATTTTATTTTATTTTTATTAATAAAAACTTAGGTTTATAAAGAAAAATTAAAACAAATCTACAAGAAGTGCTAGAATCGGTTGGTCAACTCATGGGCTAAGATAGATTTTCTTTCAAGTTGAACGAATAGTTATTTAACATTATTATATAAAGGTTGATTGTTGTATATTTAAATATTTTTAAATTTTAGAATTATAATTACATTATATAAATGTTATTAACATATATTAATAATATAATTTCATAAAATATAATTTAAAAAGTTAATATTAAATATAAAAATTATTTTTTTAAAAAAATAAATCACGTAAATTAAAACGTTATTAACATATATTAATAATATAATTTCATAAAATATAATTTAAAAAGTTAATATTAAATATAAAAATTATTTTTTTAAAAAAATAAATCACGTAAATTGGAGAGGGAATATTATTTTAGAGAAGCTAAGTGTGAAGAGTACGTGTGAAGGGAGATGTAATAAATTGAGGATGAGAATCTTTTTAGCCGTTTTTTTTTCTTTGGTCAGTCGGCGTTAAATCCAATATTGGTTAAAGGCCGACATGAATAACCCATTCCACTTGTTTTTTCTTAAAAAAATTATTTTCGATTCAATATTCGATATATATATATATATATATATATATATTTGTCATAATTTTTATTTTTAGAGTTAAATTATAAAAATTTTAATTAATATTGATATATTTTTTCATCATATTAATATGCAAAAAAATTGTAATTTATAATACTTTTTATGTAGTTTTAAAATATCTAATTTTTTGTTTAAAATATTAAATTAATGTGATCTAATTTACCTTTAAAAATTAATCAAATTAACTTTCGATGAGCGTAACATAACAAACAATTTCGAAAGAAGGAATTATTATTTATGTGTTAAGACACAATTAATTGAATAGCTGACTCTATTTTTGAGCAAAAGAGGTGCCAAATAGCACTTTACGTAAATAAATATTTTCACTTTTGAATAAACGTATATCTAGATTATCATATTTGATCGAATTTCATATCTTATTTTATTAAATATTTTAATGTTATTATATACCCAAAATTACTAGTTGTCAAAAGCGCTTATATAATAAAGTAATTTTAAAAAAATTTAATTAATTTTAACAGTAAAGTTTTATCTTTTTTAATTATATAAAGCGTGACGATTTAAATATGTGATAACTCAAGCATATATCATAATAATTTTTACTTATTTTTATTTATCACTCGGTATTTAATATTTATTGTAAAAATTTGATTACACTAATTTTGTGTTATTTAAGATACATTTAAAGGAAAAGAGCTTGAGACGAGCTATTTGATTTTGGTGAAAGATCTTACAATTTTGTAAAAAAGATGAATTGAAAAAATTGAGATGACCAAGTCTTATGGGACCAAAATGATCCAAACATGCAATATGTAAATAGTAACGATCACGAGTTAATATTATTTAATTGCACGAACTTTTTATTTTTGATGTTATATTCGTTTTAAATTCTCTAAATTATATTTTAACGAATTCAATACACACCTATAAGTATAATAATGGAGACTTATCCTATATATTATAATGACAATTATAATTTTTGAAGAATACGATAGAATACTATATATTATAATAACAATTATAATAATGGAGACTTATCCTATAAGTAGTTTTATAAGTATATTCTGGAAAACCATTGACTAAAACACACTCTAAAAATAGAGTAGTGACCAGCTGCTATAGATATTTTGAAAAGAAATTTGTCAAATTAATTTCTTAAATTTATATATATTTTGTAGAATATTCTAACTTCTTTTAATACTCTATACTCTATACTCTATATTTATATACAATGATATTTTCTTCAAGAAATTCCTAAATATTTAAACAATAAAAGAAAAAAAAATTATACATATCCAATACTTTTATTAAATTAATAAATTAAACGCGTTTATTATGAATGGTGGTGAGATAATTGAATTTTTTTCTTTCTCAACTAATTAGTGTTTTTAACTCTTCTTTAGAAACTCTCGTTCTTTTTCCTCTCGTAATAATTCAAATTTATAATCTTTAGATTGAAAGTAAAAGATTGTTTATTATCCGAATAATTTTTTATCGTCTCTTAATTAATTAATAATTTTGAATTGGCCCTCTAAAAATTTAAAATACTTATTCAATATGCTACCTTCAGATATAAAAATACTACAATATCAATAAGTATTAAAACAGTTTTAAAAGAGTCAAATGGGAAATCTTTTTTTTGTTGTCGACGGAGATTGACGGTGCTGACGCCGAAAATCATTTATAAAAGCGGAAGTGATTGGTCAACGCTGACTTTAGTCAAAGTCTGTGAAATATAACGCGGTTTTGTAACTGTCACACATGTAATTTTTTTTGTCTTTTTTATTAAAAAAATTAGTTGTTTGTCCTTTTTTTACTTAGACGAGTTTTAATTCGACGTATTCATTAAACAAATAATATATTTTTTATTTTTAATTATTTATTTATTTTGATAAATTAAAAAAGGACATAGTATTTTTTTATTTATTATAATCTCAATTAATTACTATAAAAAAGATAGAATTTTTTAAAAATCTTAAGTTTTTAATTCACCTACTTCATAATTAATAGGATAAAATGATAAACTTACTATGTCAATTATTTTTTTTAATAAGTATAACAATTTAAAAATGGACAAGTAATTAGAGATAAGAGGAGTTTATTGGTATAGTCAGTTTTACCTCTATTAATTAATAAAATCTTAAACATATTATTCACTACATTTTTTAAAGACATTCACTCAATATTACTGCCTCCGTCCAACGCCACCATACTAAAAATAGTTGTCCAACAATACATGTCTAATTTAGAAAATTAAAAGATAATTACCTTTTGTATCTATTTTACTTTGCTATTAAATTATAATTATCATCTAATATATTTTTCAAAATATTAAATTTAATAAAGTCAAATGATTATATTGTAATATTACACCTATTATTTATTGTTTTTTAAAAAATGTATCAAGTCAATAGTAACAGTAGAAAAAATATATTGTGAATATAATAGGAAGAAAACAAATTTATCCTTTCTTGAGATATATGAAATATGACAAATAAAAAAAAATTACATTAAAAATATTTAACAAGTGAATAGAAAATATATATAATCGAAGTAACGTGTTGGTTCAATTTGCATGCATTCAAATTAATTTCACTTGCTATATTTCATTAATATAAAATATTACATAACTCTGCAAGCAATTTACTCTTGAAGTGCATGAATTTTTTTTATCTAAATTAAAATTAGTCGAATCTCAATTATAGCGTATATTAATTAGACAAAAAAGAAAATATTCCTCCATATACTGCTAGTAACTACTGCAGACGTAATATCCTCACTTTCAATTTATTTATAACTTTTCAATATAATAAAATCATATTAAAGCTTAAAATTTCAATATTAAAAATAATTTATAATATTAATATATTATAATATTTATGTGACCATTTTGCATTGATGAATATACATTCTTGGGAGTTACTTTTCATTTAGACTTCTGTTTTGTTCTTTTCTTTCCTTTTTTTAATAACGAATATGTTTTTAATATTTTTTTTTGATCATATTAAATAGAACGTAAGTCCACTTGTATTACATGTGCATGCATCAGACTTATTCCTCAACCCTAAAAAGGAAGAATTTAATCTATTCACGAGAAAAATAATACAAAGTCCAATGTTTACTAATCATTCGAAAAATAAAAATATTGTATTTGATTATAATAACAACGACATATATTCAATAAATCTTTAGCTCAAATTTCAAAAGGAGAATTGGTTATTCAGAAAAAGATAGCAAAAAAGAAAGAAAAATAACAGCAAAATAAAAAAATTAAAGAGTAAAATGAAGCCACATATAATTTTTTTAAAAATATTAAAAAATAAGAAATTATGCGATTATACTAAACACTGCTATCCCACCAAATGAGTGACCACACTCGGCCTTTTACTATCTACTTTAATTTTTTATATTTATATATAAAAGAAAATTATATAAGGTCATATCATCCATTATGTGTCACATATGTCTAGATTAAACACTTTTTATTGATATTATTTTAATTTATTTTTATGAATAAAATTTATTCGCACTCGATTTTTATATTAAATTAATGTAATTTTATTTTTACGTAATTTAATGAAGTAAAATATATTCGTTATTTAAATTGAGTAAAAATGAACTGTAAATTTAAACACACGACAGACATGTATTAAATTAATGTAAACATCCAATATAGATAAATTTATCCTATTTTTATATCTCTTAATTTTTGTTAAGTCAAACCTTTCTCACACCTATTAATTAATATAAATATTTTCTTTTGTATAAATACTTATATAAAACGAATATTTCAATGATAAATTTTGTCCACAAATTTGAATCGACTTTTTAAAGTAACAATCATGACTCATGAGGCATGAATTGTTCCACATGTATGAGCTAGTTTAGGTCCAACTTTATGAAATTTTTAGCCATAAATAATTGAATTCAAATAAACTAAAGCTTTATTATTTAAATTGCAAAATATATCAAATTTGATTTTATGTTGATCTGAACATTCCTAAACATAACAAATTAATTAATCAAATAAAGTCAACGCGAATAATTAAAATTGAAAACACAATATGATGAATTTTTGTTAATACATACATGATTACAACTTATAGAAAGTATAAATTCTTACGGTTAGTCAAGAGAAGCTAATATATCCTTTAAACTATTCAAAATTAAATAATTATATTCTTTTTGTTAGTTATTTGACAAAAAAAAAAGAATTATCGTTAATCAAATGATATAATTATGCCCTCTTTTTATATTGTAAAAGAGTTCCACATTATTTCTTTTGTGTAATATAATTTTACAAGTTGCAATAAGTAATTTACAGATTTTGCATCTTAAATAATCATCTTTGTCATACAAAAAAATAATTCTTAATTTATAATATGTAAGTATAAAAG